CACAATACTAATCCCCGGCGCCCTTGTGATGAAACTGAGCTTATTTTGATCACACAACAACTTCATGATCTTGACAGAAATTTGAAAGTTCGCGTGGCTTGCGCAAATTATATATATATTGATATTATTATATTATCATTTTTGTTTAAAACACTTCCTTTTACTCAATTTAGAAATATGCTTGTTTTACAATATTTCGATTGATTGGTGCAATACGGGATGTACAATTAGATTATTCTTGTACATCAGAAATACATTGCACGTAGGCTCACTTCAAATCGCGCGTGCAATCTAGGTTCAAGGCCATTTTCTCTCTTTTCAAGGAGAATAAATATAACAAAATTCAGATGGGCATTTTTATACTTCTTTATTCGTCCATTATAGTGAAGTCTTGGGGCTGTTACGCCTGTGGAGCATCTATATTGATTCAGGGGAGCACGTTTTATATAATTTCGATAGGAAAAGAAAATTGATATACAGTGCAATAAACTCTTTAACTGTTTTTCGAAATATTGTTTCTGTAATTTAAGTGAGGAATTAAATCGCCTATTCTGTTGTTTTCTTTCTTAAACATATGATTGTGATATACATTGTGATTAAAATGTTGTGGGAATTCTGCCTACAACATGTGAAATAAGGAAAAAAGAAAAATTGTACCTTTGACGTTCCGAGTGGATCACCAGTGATAACAGATCTTTGCAAAATACCTGGCAATTATCTTTGAGGCAAGGTTGGCTCCTCTGGTGTTAGATATGCTTGCTGATACGCTCTACCCATTCTCACTCATAGAGTCAAGCTCTGATCCATACACTATCATCTCTCTTGGTGCAGTCTGGAAATAAAACATTATACATATTGTTTGGACCTCTAATGAAAAATAATTGATCCTGATTGAAAAACAAGTGTTTAAAAGCTTTAGTAAAAAATGGTTAAGTGTTTCAGGATGATGTCATAACATGTCATCATGGCAACAAATCAGAGGGAAATTGAACAGAATTTAATGAACATGAATGTTCAAAATACTTGTTGGCATTATTGATGCTTCTAAATTGTACAAAGCTCAATTTTGGGATTATTTTGACAAAACTTATATTCTCACAAAAATAATGTCATTGCTGGCTTATTAAAGTAAAACTAATATAAAATACAATCAAAATTGAACAGAGGAGGATTGAATGGATAGGGGAGTTATATGTCTAAACCTAAACCAGAAAACTGTGCTCATTGAGAAAATGCCATTGCTCATTGTGAAAGTGAAGCTACTTTTGTTTTGATATTTCTTACATCAAATGGCAGCTATCTTGTTTTTCCCCCTTCAAATTGAAATGGCGGAAAATTCCCAAAGTTTGAAAAAGAATTAAATCCTAACATATATTTAAAAAAATGATTTTCTTTTTAATTCTTCATGGTCTTTAAGTTATTTCTATTTTATATGCCATACAGGTTGCCATTGGTGTTTTTTCTATGATAATTATTGATTGTTTTCTGTTACTTATTTTGACTCTCAGCAGGGGGTTTATTTTGCATTAAAACTCATGAAATAGTAAATATACTTATCACATACATTTAACTGAGGGACCAAAAGGGCATATATCCAGACTCATCCTTTACACAAATTTGTGAGTTGATAAATAAACTCAGTAACACTTGATAAAATTAGACAAAAATTTGTGGAAATATGCCAATGATTTTTTTCATTTTTAGGTGGGTGCAGACTGATTTTCAGGTGGGTGCAATCATATTTTCAAAATCTCAGGTGGTTGATGCGCCCATCTTGCTTTATGCTGGGGAGATCACTGCAAGTTGAATCTAATCATATGAACTTATTGACATATGTATTGTGATTTATTATTAAAATTGTGACACTTATAAGAGTAAATGAATTTCTAATCTTTAAAGGTTTTTCAACATTGTGTAAATGGGGATTTAGCTTGAGCTTTTTCAGAAGACTTAAAATTTGAGAATTTGAGTAAAAGTAAATGAAGCTATCTCTATTGATAGAAAACAACATATAGAATTCAAATATGCCATTAAATAGAAGAAACTCTTGGTCTTTAATTAATGGTTACAAATGCAGATCAATTAAAAACATGACTTAAAATAACATGACTTTATGGAAACCATCTGATTAATAAAAAAATCAACATCACATTTACAGCTTCCTCAATTTTTTAGTTTCAAAAGATGTACTGAATAGTGTTGAGTTGCCAAGCTGAGAACATCTTCCCAAGAATCTCTGAAACCTTATGCAGTCATCATTTCCACATCATCATTGCACACAGAATATCTTTCTAACAATACATTCAAAAGATAGGGAGACGCATTAAGGACTAAGGCACACCCAAAGAGTACATTAAATCAATAGAATTAAGGTTGTGATTAATAAGAATCATGGCTTATGAAAACTCTTGGAAGTGTAGGAAAATTCAGAATGGATATATTTTTAATACTCACATAATAGTCCTCTTCTTAAACTTCTTATCTCAGACATACATTCATCTTCTGAAAGTACAAAATGGGGTTCATAATTTAGATCTAAAACATTTGAGCAGCTCTTGCTATTTTTGAGTATGTATGTTTGGTATTTCGATGCAATCCTCAATGGATTCACATGTTTCTCTATTAATAAATTCATTTGTTGAAATTAAGAGATCTCTAAAACACTCAATGATAATACTACATTCCCCTTTTAAACTCAAAAAGTAGAAAACAGCAATTGTGAATAATTCCAAATGAAATAAGATTATTTTAGTCAATATTCCAACATATGAACTCTCACATAGAGAGACTGATTTAGAGCGTGAATGAGTAAGTGAACTCCTGAATGAGAGTGAGAGAATGACTTTAAGGAAGTGAGTGACTTACTAAGTGTCTGAGTAAGTGGCTTGCTGGCTGGCTTGCTGGCTGGCTGGATGGCTGGGTGGCTGGCTGATCAACTCCACATTTGGGAGATAAGCTTAAACATAAGACGTAAGTTAACACAAGAGATCTCTTAGAGCCTCTTAGGGAACTACAGCCCATTTCAGTTTTATTTCGTCAGTAGAACCCAAAAAATAAGAAATCAGGAGACCATTGTGCAATAATATTTGGAAAAGTATATTCATATTGTACATGAATGACATTTGTATATTTTAGATTATTTAGTTCTGTTTTGTGCAATAAGCCTGTGCCCACTTATAATGAATTTCAGCCATGTTACAAAGTATCCTTTTGAAAATACTATGGCAGAGACACATGCTATCTATTGCAAGACTTATGCCTGGCACAACCGTCACCATGTTATTAAGTGTTTTTAAGTTTCGCAAGGATCTTGCCATGGCCGTGGTAGTGTTATCGCGAAATCCTGGTATAACCGTGACAATGCTATACTATATTGCAAGGCTTGTCACCACCGTGGTAATGTTATGGCACGATATGACTGTGACAATGGTTATATTAAATAGCATTTAGTGGGATTGTAATGATTAACTTCCTTAAATATGTGAAGGTATGTGATATTGCAAGGCCTGTCATGACCCTGGAAGTGTTATCATGGAAGCCTGGCGCGACCGTAGCCTTTATTGTGTTTTATAAGCGAATGTGAATATTAATGTATAGTAGTAATTTTGATTTTGACATGATTAAGGTAGTTAAACACCATGATCATAGTATTAAACTATTTAATTGTAATGACGATCACTTAAAATTGTTAAGGATATTCCTGGCATTAATAGTCATACATATTTACTAGTCATTGCAATACATTATAACGGTCATAGAAGGACTAAGCCTAAATTTCTACATTACCACAAATTATATTGTCACGGCCATGCCAGGCCTTGCAGTACTAAATTACATTGCCACGGTCATGCCAGGCTTTGCAATACACATTGTCACAGTTATAGCAGTTCTAATCGTAAATTTCTACATTAGCAGTTACCACTCTCATACCTGAACTTGCAATACTATATTACATTGTCACGGTCATGCCAGGCCTTGCAGAACTATATAACATTGTCATGGTCATACCACGCCTTGCAGTACTACAGTATATTACATTGCCACGGTCATGCCAGGCCTTGCAGTACCTATATTACATTGTCACGGTCATGCCAAGATTTGCAAAACTATATTACATTGTCACGGTCATGGCAGGCATTGCAATATAATACAGCATTGTCGCGGTTATACCAACCTTTCACGATAACATTACCATTTACCATGGTCATGGCAGGATCCTTGCGCTACTTAAAAACACTGAATAACATGGTGACGGTTACGCCAGGCGTTAGTCTTGCAACAGATAGGGTCTCCGATCATTGCGCAACATAAAGATATACTAATAACAGGGTGACGGTTGTGCCAGGCATAAGTCTTGCAACAGATACATGTAGGGTCTCGAGAAGCATCAAAATAAGAGGCCACACACTTTATGAGCCAAACTAGAACTAATTCAAGATAAACGAAAGTCATTTATGTACAATAGGAATATATTTTCCACATATTATTGCATAATGATCTTTTGAAATTCTTATTTTTTTAGGTTTTACTGACGGATAAAAACAGTGAAATTATGGGAAAATCAAAATCAATGGGCGATAATTCATAATACTCACTTTACGGGAAAATTACTCGTTGAATGTGGAATTCATGATCAGTCAAAAACATTACCCTGTTTGATCCTCGTTTAGTCTTGTTTACTTTGAGCAACTTCTTACCTTCAAATCGGCTATATCGATTACAAACTAACGGTACAAAATTTGAGTTGGATATTTCCGCGTAATGGCCAGCGAGGGACCGGTCATTCTGTTACACCATCCAATTTCAAGGCCAGTCAGTATTACACAATAACTGATCACCAAAATAGCACGGGTTTGGAGCGCCCTGATTGGTTGGATTTATAGCACGGGCTAGGAGCGCCTAGATTCGACTCGAACCCGTGCTACATTTTGAGCACGGGTGCTAAACCCGTGTTACATTTGAGCACGGGTTTGATGTGTGTCGGGCATCGAGTGCTTCTGGGAAGTTTCGCAGGGATGTGAAATCCCTCTTTTGTAGATGTGTTCAAATAAATCTGCCGAGAAACACGAATAATGCAGGCGGCATGAGTATTGAGACAATTCAACGAAATGCTACAAGTACAGATAACGAAATCACATAAATGAACGCAACGTAGGCTATGCAGAATGAGCCTGCAGAACAATTTTGGGTCGGATAAACTTACAAGAGCGGTGTGGTGAAGTACGGTGCGATGCGGAACATCCAGTCATTTTTAACTTGTTTTTTATACTTTATAAACTAAGCTACTAAAAATTTGCCAAAAATGAATAGTCATGACAAAGATGCATATTATTTGTTGAAAATATCAATATTTTTCTGAAATTGGCTCCATGACTTCATGATCCGTGATGTAAACATATTCCTCACATCTTGACTTGGAATATGATTAGAAATTAGCATTATATTAATCGAAGCGTTTTGCTTTTGAAATTAGCATTAGCCTTTTGTTTCTGTTTGCTCTCAAGTTATTTGACCAATCAGTGATGAGGGTCGTCTCTATATGAATTTCAATTGCGTTGAGGTCATCTTTGAGCTATGGGGTTTTCCCTCCTCTTTTCTAAACTTTGGCCATTCGATTTATAAATCCAATAAGATAATTATTTTAAAAAGTTAACTATTGTGCATATCAAAGAAAAATCAGTGAAGCATTGAAAAACAAATTAAATTTTAGTTATCCTTAGTGATGGATACTATTGCTAATTAGAATAACACACGGATAATATGACATAATTATATGTTTCCCTTTACTCGCTTCTCTAATTTAACTTGTTTAGAGAAACCTTTCTACGAATTAATTAATTATGACGTCTAATTATCAGCACTGTGAGACATAATTGGTATCGGGTTGTTCTTGGGATCCTGACGACCTTTTATTCTGATACTCATAGCATCTTTCTGTTTCACCTGAAACATGCTCTGATATTATGAGGCATATTCTGTGATCTGAGCACATCAGATTGGAAGAGTTATAACTGTCAATAAGTGTGATAGTTATCATGTTATCATTTACCTAATGCCAATACATTACATAATAGGCATTGTATCTAACAGCAAATATTAGAACATATACCACACAAGCTTTATGACCCCAATTAGATGAAATATGAGCTGGGGTTAAAGATCTCAAAAATCCTCAATTTTGGGCTCTCCTGGATCGCCAAATCAAGCTCATTATATCATGGCATCTCGTGGCTGAGAAGAAATGGGATGTCATGGTTTATCATGATGGCAACTTTTGAGAATTGTCAACTTCATGTACGTTAGGAAGTTTATCTTGAAATACACTGTCAATACATTACAAATATGAATTTGACAATGAATTGAAAAATGAAAATTCATCAATCGATGTTTAGAATCAGTTTAAGATGTACGCACACACTGTTGGATGTAGTTTATTTCGGTGCGGCTGGCATATTGAATCTGTGTAATATGTACCATGATCTACCAATGTGTTCCTTATAAGCTCAAATATGATTTCTCCCAAAAGAAATAGTTAAGGTGATTCAAGACTATACATAACAAAAAACATTATACTATCATCAAATCGAAAGGTTCCCATTTTATCAAGCGTATCCACACCGATTGTCTGTTGGTTGCTCATATCTCATTCCCAATTCTAATACCTTAGTCGCATTTGCTCTACGGCGGCATTATTACATCGCAGAAGAAACTTTAGTTTATAACTTTAAAAAAGCGAAACTAATCTCTCTTATTTGATAGTTTGAATACAGTATGAAGGCTGAAAACGATGTATGAAAAACAATTTCAAAACGTAAACGTTTGCAAGAGTTATGTATACTTTACAACGAAATATTTACTAAATAACTGTTTTTACAATTAAATAAATGTATATTAGGTATTAATTTCACATGCTCGTATATGGATTTTAGTGAAGTTCCAAAGCCGCTTAAAATTTTAAAATATCACAAATTCAAGTTAAAAGTGGTTCCGCACCAATCGCACAGGTAAAATACCGATTGCTACCTACTGCTACCTACTAGAATTCAACACACAGTTGTAAACATAATCTTAAAACAGGGTATTAATTGTGTTTTCGGTGACAAGCATCAAACCAAAGAAGTGATATTAAATGCCATGTAAGTCAAGTTAAGTTCACCTCTACGTAGGTTTTGTCTGCATGTCTACCATGAATGGTATGAGTCCTATGTATCTGAAAATAACACTAAACTTCCCAAACGTGCAAATGTACGTTAATCTCAACATTTTGTTCTCGGAAACCGTCAAGTTCTCTTTCAGTGATGACGGATCAAAAAGCCTAAGTCTACGATTCATCTGGGAATTGAAGACTCTTAACAAGCGTAAATTGTTATAGTCAGTATGTGTGTATTATACATTTATGTTGATGGGTTGTATTTTCATCTGTTTTAGTTACTTATTTGCATATAGTCGTCGGCTTAACAAGCGTAAATTCTCCATTTCGCTGTTCGCTCTTTGAATCAGAACGTTCGCATATATGGTGCATATATGTACTCAAAAAGGACAAAATTTGATTGGTCAATATTTTTCAACGATGCATTTCGTGTAGCTATTTGTGAGACCCGAAAGTTCTAAATCAAATTAATTACGCAATTTTGTTTTTACACCCGCAAGCTAAATAAAAAAATGACACCATCGGAATTCTTCTTCTTTGTCATTGAATTAATAGTCAGTATACCAGATTTAATCAATAAAAGATTATACAATTAACAACAAAATTCGGAAACGAGTATGTAAGATTTGCTTTCGAACCACTAAACTTGACCTAGATAATAGCGACGTGTCTTCTTTGGTCAAATGCTCAGTTGTTTGTGGGTTTTCAACGTAACTCTATAATGTAATATGAAGATGAGTACTTTTATTCAGTTGTTGCATCGATGTTACAGTTTGTAGTGCGGTAATATTGGCATGAACGTGTTGAAAGTAGAATGGAATTGCTTTTTCCAATATGGCGACTAGTCACGTGACTTCTTCTCTTCCGGAATATACTCCCATTTTCAATCATTGTTTTCACCCCGTTAGGAGCCAATAAAATGAAAAAAAATATATGTTATATAAAGATTATTAAAAGACTAATTGTTTCTGATAGTTTGTTTTCTCCGATCGCATGGAGATTCGATCGAAAATATCGCTTGAAAAATGGGTATGAAAATCCCCATGTTAAACCAACGGGGAAAAACAAGGTAGAAAAATTTTGTTCCCCCGCGAACTGCATCATGGGAAATATTTTGACCTTATAAGGAAAAACTTTCGCGCCATCTTTATTAGAGATTCAATACTACCGAATCCGCGATTTTAAGAATTGTTATAGTCAGTATGTGTGTATTATACATTTATGTTGATGGGTTGTATTTTCATCTGTTTTAGTTACTTATTTCCATTTAGTCGTCGGCTTAACAAGCGTAAATTGTTATATTCAGTATGTGTGTATTATACATTTATGTTGATGGGTTGTATTTTCATCTGTTTTAGTTACTTATTTGCATTAAGTCGTCGACAATTTAGCAAGGATTTCATCTTTCTCTCTGGACTAGAGAAGGAGGAACTAATTATTTAGTCTTATGTTCGAAGAATGGGGTTAGTGATTCTGTCAAATTGCCTGTATTATGAAATGTCTGCACCGTGATCTAACTTACTGTGCTATAGCCACAAAAAATGAATGTGCCTTGTCATTTGATATTAAGCATACATCCCTTTAGGAGACCGTCAAATCCAGAAATCTCCGGTCACTTTCTTTATCAGGAGAGCTGTCAACACATCTGATAAGAAGTGTTCTTAGCAGCTCTAGTGAAACTTGATGCTATGTTGGTCTAATACAAGATGCAGCCTACTTGTAAATAAAATACGTTATCCATGTACGTAATATATGGCTCAACAAAAAACAGCAACTAAAAAACAACAACTAAATATGAGAAACTTACGTGGTATATGCCATATTTATGTGTCTGATCATATAATCTTCAAATTATCCATCAATTTCTTAAGAAATTGGCGAAATTAAGGAAACCAGAAAACACATTTAATGAAAGGGCGGTGTTTATAGGCTGTATGAAATGCCCCTGCATTAACGCTCACATATATGAGTTTTAAACAATAATTTAGTAGACTAAAGTGTTGATACGAAATCTCAGTAATAGCACCAGTTAGGAGATAAGGTGATGTCCGATTTAACATTACGATTGCTGGATATGTTGATGACTTAAGTGATGAATATGACCATTGAATCGTTGATCCAAGGGACTTTGACGAGGTCAGCAAGCACTTTCATAAGCTTTTAAAGATCTGAATAACGAGTCACATTCATTCAAGCATATCATGTAATATGTGTTCAAATGGCGGTCTCTTGAATGGGAGCTTTGACACATATATGTTTAAAGTTCATCTTGACTATTGTCAATCAGTAAGTGACAGCTTGTATTGGTTGATCTTGGGATGAGGTATTAAATGTCGTCTCCTATTGTTATTTGTAAAAGGAAGCAGTGCATCTCGATTTTGTAGCAGATTTACTCCTTAAAATGTGAGTCTCAGCTTGTATTCGCGAATTGAATGCAACTAACGCATGTCGGCTACCAGATTAACCTACTATTTTATTGGAAACTCATTAAAATATGAATAGTACCTCCCACTATTCCATTCATATTCAAATGAGTTTGTCACAAAATACTAGGTTAATCCGGTAGCCGACAGACGTGAGTTGCATTGGCGAGTACAAGGGTAAACGGTTCCTAAACCTATGAGGTGGTGTTTATTTGGTTAGTTGTGGGTTGTGCTCATTTTGTGGTGATTGCATTATGTGTTGGGTAGCACGTTTTGAACAATTGTATGTGTGATCGATGTTGTGTCGAGTAGTGCCTGGTTGACAAAACAAACATTTATGTTTTCAATACAAGAGTAACATTTTAATACAATTTTGGGATCGAAATTTATATGGCATATATGGCCAAAAATATCGATGTTGGACAATGGGAGCCAATCCTCCTTGAGATATAACGTAGCTAGCTATTGTATGCGCGCAAGACCAGAACGAAGAGATTCGATTGGAACTACATAAATAATATACATGTTGTATAATCAAAGAGATAGATCTGAGAAACAC